TTTTTTATACGCAATATTTTTAATTTTTAGTTTTTTTTTGTGTTCACGCATTTGAAGTCGGTTTTATTTTTTTAAAAAGTTATCTACAACAGTACTGATCCTCATTACAGTTAATACAATGCTAACACATCCTACTAATATTATAAAATAATAACATAGGTAGCTACAACAATGTGATACGTACATAATAGAGTAGATTCTGTATGATCTTAATGAAAAGGAGAAGAAGCCCGTTCGAATAGCGCAGTTTATATTCTGTTTTCTTCTTATTTCACTTTTCTTTGGCATTAAATTATGGACCTTCTTGGTAAAATTATCAAAGTTATGGTAAAATAGAAAATTGTTTATGGCATACAATTTTGTATATTACTTTGCGATAACGAGGAAAGTTTCCTCACAATATAAGTAAAAATCTTTATCATATTTTAACTGTGCGAATATTTAGATTGAGTGACGAAATATTGTTTTTGTTGTTGAAAATTACAAAAAAAAGAAGCCCCGTTGTTATTAAAAGCCTCTACGTCTTTCAGTACCTAGCTCTTTAGACACACAAACACAATTCAAAATATTAGATTCATGATAGTTGTGTAGGTCGTGTCATGAAATTAACAATTTAAGTACATCTGACTCTACATTTTGGTGCAACATCACTACGCTATTATTTCAATTACATTAATTTAATGTATTATAAAGGGTCAAGAAAATATATTTATTTAAAGGCGGTCCAAAAGACCCATCGCGGCATCTCAAATATTGCCCTTCGAACTTCCAAACAAACAAAACAAAGAACTCCTAAAGTTAAAGCGCTTATGAGTTACTTCATCGGATTGGTTTCTAGGGAATCGTATTATAGAAATAAGAAGCCCAAAAAACTCAAGTTTGTGTCTTTACGTACATGACTATGTACTCGTATGCTTTGTCATGTCATATGACTTACTGCTGTCAACCCTCCCGTGCCGCGAAACTATATACAGGGTGTTAGGTAAATGGGTATATGAGCCGACACTAGCCCATGTTAACATGGTCATATAAATGGTATGGTGAAGTCAGAAATTTGATATCATCATTTTATTTATTTTAATTTTCATACAAAATTAATTTTATAACATCCGATTTGTATGAAAATTAAAATAATTAAAATGAAGATATCAATTTTCTGACTTCATCATACCATTTATATGACCATGTTAACATGGGCTAGTGTCGGCTCATATACCCATTTACCTAACACCCTGTATAGTACTAGTCTTATAGAATATGTACCTTTTTGTTTAGCTTGCTTGATGTGCCACTCTATACAGTCATCTAAAATAACTTATTCCAAAACTTTAAAGATAATGCCCTCTTCCTTGTACTTTAGTCGATTCATTCAAAGTTCGTAACTATGTAGTCTTTTAGAATCAACTATAGCTTTTTTTTAACTTTTCATCTGGTTTTCACTATAAAGATAAATGAATGCAGAACGCTTGGTTTATGATGTATCTACCCTGAATGACGTGAAAAATGACTTCAAAACGAAACAGATACTTACCAGATGTTTTTTTGTGCGCCGTGACTAAAAAGTTGCTCCTGACAACGAATTCTGGAGAACAAAGGAAAACCGCCTCTTAATCTGGCCCTCAAAATAATTAAAAAAAGCAACTGCTTACATATTTATGATCCCTTAATTATAAGCCTATGGATCTTACTATAAAAAATGCTGACGGTGAGGATGTTTGTAGCTTAGTCACGCCAAAATGGCAATCTGGATGAAGAAAGAAAGATGAACATCTATAAGAAATTTTTATCCTGGGAAAATGTACGTTTTGCGTGATATTTGGTTTGTATAATTTGGTTTATATAACCACACCAACGTGTGGAGATGGCGATCTGCCAATTACCTATTGGCCTTTGATCGCACCGCCAATGGCGTTCTGCACGCGTTGGTGTGGTTGAAGTTTATAATAATTACGGATCAAGAGATCTTGATAGTAGCTTTCGTGGTATAATGTTTAGGGCAGAATATAATTGTATAAGAAACCGTAATAGATATTTTAAAAGGTGTTTCAGGTAAGTTCTATAACGAAAATGTGTTTTAAAGACAGATACCCACGAGCGATGTTGCTGGCAAAAGCTAGCTTAAAATAATATCATGGCCAAGAATATCAGTCAGACTGTAAAAAACATAAATCTTTTCATCTCGTACGTGAGCTTTCCTCGGAAAGCTTTTCAATTCACTATTCAATCAGCATCGAATAATATAGCTTTTGAACTGAGTTCAAGGAGTATCACACACACTTCATATTCGTGAATAGCTTTATATCGAAATCCCTTTTCGGCCATGATATGAGTGAATACAAGGAAATTAAATCTTGTTTTAGGCTTACCTATATCAGGCAATGCTTATATTTTTTTATTCAAAGATTCCTCCTGGCCTGTGCATGTAGGTAACTATAGAAATTCTCATTATTCTTTCCCTACTTTTAATATTATAAATGTAAAAGTAACACGGCCTATCTCTTANCTCTCTTACGCTTTCACGTCTAAACCACTAAACAGATTTTGGTGAAATTTGTTACAGAGATGATTGAGTCCGGACATAGGATAGTTTTTAACTTTTTATCCCTGTTTTTGAAACAGGGATGCGCACAATAAATATTTTCTGTGACAAACAAAATTTCACGCTGGCGAAAGCCGCGAGCAAAAGCTAGTTTAATATAAAACGAGCTCTGTAAATATATTATAAATATGTACATACTATGGCATATAAATTGTACAACGACGACACAAACGTCCATCGAGACGGCAACGCTACCTTTTGCTAATAGATCCAATTACAAATTGATATCGACATCTGAAATTCATGGAAGATAATCCCCAGTCGAGTAACCGTTCCAGGATTATTCCAGAAATTCTAAAGCCAGGTGTTCTTTCTCACGGGCTCCTTTAGCGTTTTAGTATGCAAATCTTATTGGACATTTAGGCGATCCTTCAATTAATTGTATTATATTAGAAATTCATTAACAAAGCGGTTTATTAATTTACGAACAATTTTTTTTTCATCATGTAGATACACGAACTTCGATGTTACCTATCAATCAACTTCAATCAAGAGACCCTCTTAATAAAAATCGTATATAAAAGCTTGTAACAATAATCATAAAATTAAATGTCTACTTAGCTCAGTGGTCAGAGTATCCATGGATTCACGAAACGTAATCCAAATTGTAAACTCGATTTAGCACCACGATTTTATTTTATTTTGAGAGGCAATAGGTAAGGTATACTACCTTTAAAACAAATTTTTTTCATTACTTTTTGATCTGTGTGAATTAGTAATTTTATTGCATGTCTTAAGGGACACAAAACTCGATTTTTGTGATTCGCATCATAAGCGACTTGCCCTTTACATAAAAAAGTCGTTGACATTTTGCGCAATCCTGTCTAGAGTTACTTTTGAAGTTTGTGTAACAGTATCTTTTATAAAAATGAGATTATGTATGATCATGTGGGTGTTTGGTTTCCTTTGGGAGTTAGTATAACAATCTCTTACAAAGCGTTATTTTAATAGTTTGTTTCTTCCAAATGACATCCACGGCTGGACAAGGGCCTTCTCCAAGAATTTTCACAATGACCGGTATAATATTACATAATGTATGTTTTTCTTTTGTTTTCAGTATATTCCCTACCTTGTGTCAATATTTTCTTTAATATCAAAAGGCTCAAACGTCTTTGAAAGGAGCTTGATAAAATATTGGAATGTAAATGTGTTGTCATTTCGTTTCGTATTTAGGGACTTTTAAATGATTGCGAATCATTATAAAAAGACAAATATTGCAAACAGGAAAACGAGCCATAGGCATTTTGGATAATTGAAATAATTATGCCATCATTTCATCAGTTAATAGAGTTTTAATTTGGTTCATTAATTACGTTTTAAAATTGTATAACTGTCAAACATGTAAATGAAGTAATGAAGAAGATGTTAGGACCATCATAAAGTTAATATTCCTAGGTATACTGGTATTTTTATGGTTAGCACTCTCTTATCATTACATAGAATAGCTGGGTTGACAAAACCATCACTCTTTTTGCCGAAAATCTTTTGTTTCTTTCCAAAACATTTCCACTCCAGCCAATACTTGTTGAAAATTGGTTGGTATGGTTTATCATGCTTTCTCAATGACCCATTGAAGTATATTACGTTCAGTCCTCGAGCACAAACTCTATTAGTAACCCTATTTGGCTTATGTCAAGCAATTTACACGTCCGTCGATGCGAGTGTACCAATTTAGAACGTGTCTTGCGTGGTATGAGGTTTTCAATCATAATAATTATAAAGTAATTAAAAATTATATAACAGAATGAACCAAGAATATTTATAAAATATTAATATTTCAGAAGGCTAAATGAAAGCAGAATTTTTAAGGTTGAAAGCAAACAAATGAGAGGTCAGACTGTTTTTGTAACCATTCTGATACCATTCCTTAACAAACAGCAACACCCCTAAACAAAATAGTGCCAGTAATTGCCACTTTGTTTAGAGTCTACGTTTATCTACCCCGAGACTTGCAACTCCAAAGTTAGGTGTTAAACCGAACTATTTGCTAGTTTCACTTGATTTCAATTAGTCGCTTCCGCGAGTGTTTACGCTAACATTGGCGTTTGAATCTAGATAGAGTTTATCAAGGTGAAGATTTGTAAAGAAGGAATCGCACATGACGCACACAATGTGTTAATAAAGTTAATTGGTCAATCAATTAGGAAGAGAATGAAAGCGTAATCTGACACTAGGTAGAGATCAATCGGTAAAGCTTCAGGAAGGAATATATAAAATGTATTTATTTTTCGAGCCGGAAAACTTGGTATACTCTGGGCTTCAGCTTGACAGTACTTTTTGGGACACCCTGTATAAAAATTTGAGACTGTTATCCTGAAGCGTGATTATTGTATACCAATAATATGTTGGATCCAACTAAACTAAGATCTTCGGATGATAATTCTATCATTTATTCTCTACAGCAGGGTGTCAACGTTGACAAGCGCACTCTGGTGAGCGCCGAGCGGAAGCAGCGGACCTTCACAGACAGATCTCAGCTGAAGTATGCTAGAAGACTGGTTGTGAAGCTAGGCAGCGCTGTGATCACACGAGAAGATGGCAACGGACTGGCGTTGGGACGACTGGCATCTATTGTGGAGCAGGTAATTTAATCTATAGATACTTATAATAAATCTGTAGCGAGGTCAATTCTGTACATGAAATATATTTTCAAAATAACTATCAGGGGGTGATTAGTGATCGATACTGATGCCAAAAATGCAATCAGTAATTTTTTTGTCTGTCTGTCTGTCTGTCTGTCTGTCTGTCTGTCTGTCTGTATGTTCCTTATAGAAACAAAAACTACTCGACGGATTTTAACGAAACTTGGTACAATTATTCTTCATACTCCTGGGCAGGTTATAGTATACTTAGGAATTCCCACGGGAACAGGAATTAGCGGGAAAATCCTTTTGTATGAAAAATCTAAACCGCTTAAGTTAGACGCTTGAAATTTGTCATGCAGGTACCTTAGTGAACTTAAAGCTTAGTTACAACAGGATATTGCAAAATTCCCACGGGAACGGGAGTTAGCGGGAAAAAATCTAAACCGCGTAAGATAGATGAAGAGGGTAAAACGGGATCCACGCGTACGAAGTCGCGGGCGGCCGCTAGTATTTAGTAAAGTTGAGAAATAGATGGGGCTCTTCAGAGAATCACAGCTGAAGTATGCTAGAAGACTGGTTGAAGTTGGGCAGCGCTGTGATCACGCGGGAAGATGGGAACGGACTGGCGTTGGGCCGGCTGGCATTTATTGTGGAGCAGGTAATTTATTACTGCGTACTGAAAAAGCCTTGGACGTATGCTAGATTAATATTTATTTTAAAGGGAAAGGAATTCAGAAAGATGGTAATAACTAAAAATGATTCTAGAATGACTGACTAGCGTCTAGAGTAGAGCAGATAATAGAATACTTAGTAAAATAGTATTACTAAAGTATGCTAGAAGGTTTGTTGATTATTACCAAAGAACGAGAATTTAGTAGGCCAATTGCATTCCAAACTTGTATAACTTCTGGACTCTGGTACTTATCAGACATCTATGTATCTATGAACAATCCTTCAAATTTATCTCTTCTTTAAATTTAAAAGGTAACTTTTATAACTTAGGTAGTATTCCTTTTTATCGTTTTTTAACTAGGTTGTCACTTTTCCCCTCAGATGGTATCAAGACGCCCAAATGAAACTCGTAACAGAATACGTTTTTCGCTTTGAATTATAAATTAAACTTAAAAGCGACCCTTAATTCATTGTGTAGGAAATTGAAAAGAATTTTTCTTTGAACCTCCGCAGTAAAAAATGAAGGAGGATGTTTCTAAGGTGATTTTCAATTAAGTAGCAAGCTGAAAGGACATAATAAAATAGAATAAATTGGCAGTATCGAATTAATTGAATTTACGCCTTTACAGTTGGATAAAAATTGAGTTTCACAAGTTTACAAAAGGACCCATTTTGCATAGCAATGGACTTGGGTCAAAATTTTCCCTTGTTTTGTATAAAAAATCATATTTTAAATCCGATTGTCTATCATGACAATCAAGAGCAAAATGCTATTTTTGAACACAAAATCGATTAGTTTTTCCTGTTACACTTAAAACTTCCTTTGTTTTCGTTTGATGGGGACTAACCAAAACATTTTAATATTAACTAATTTTATCACTTTATTTGCCTGATAAAACAAAAGGCATCTAAAAGTCAGTCATCGTATCCCCGGCCCCACAATCATGTTATCTCAAAATGTTTATAAATAGAATTTCGTCGTCAAAGAAACCCTTTATTGTTTGCTGACCTTCTGCAAAGCTATTTTATTACGTTTTGTTGGTCTGTTTTTGTTTGCCGATAAAAGTAGGTAAGCATGGAGGGATTATTTCTTGTTTGCGAGGGTGAAAGAACCGATGGTTATGGGATATTTTGTTTGCAAACGATGGTTTAATATAATGAGATATCAATAGCTGAATAGGGTTTTTAAGGGACTGCTAAACTGTCCACCTGAATTCCTTATTTAGAATTTGTTTCAGCTATATTGAATTCGGCCCCATCCGTAAATTGGATTTCAGATTGAAAGAACACGGTTGGTAAATGAAAATTTTTAGAACAATATTTTTTTAACAACTTCTATTAATAACAACTCCAACATTGAATATAGGGCAGCTCTGTTTGTCTTTAAAAAAAACATATTTTTAAAAATCTAAAACTGAACGGTAGCACCATCTAACCCCTATTATTATGTTTATAAAAATGTTTGAATTATGTGGTAGAAAAGCCTATAGTAGTGACCCGGACTTTATAGAATATGTAAAAAGATACTCAAAAGTTTTTAAACAAGTTTGTACTATGGCAAAATCTATTTACATAGGTACGTGACAAAATTAAAAATTCTCACACTTATTCCTTTCTATTCCACCAGGTGGCAGAGTGTCATCACGAAGGCCGGGAGTGCATCATGGTGACGAGTGGAGCTGTAGCCTTCGGCAGACAGAAGCTCACTCAGGAGTTGCTCATGTCTCTATCTATGAGAGAGACGTTGTCACCAAGCGACCATACTAGAGAGGTAATGTTTGTCTTATGTTTTTTTCTGAGAGATGTACTTTAATGTTGGTGCGTATTCAATGACAGTTTAACTTTCCCCCGGGACCAACTTGACCTTCACTGGTTGGGTTTTTATTGGCGGTCAAGCTGTAGATCCTGGCTACACAGGAGTTGCATTGGTGGGAATAGTCCCGAGAGGTATAGTACTGTTACGACTTTTCATTAGAGCGTCGTAAAAGATGGCATGGGTATGACTGAGATTTGATTCATTATAGTAATCAAGTTGCTAAAAGTCACTTTATTTTGAAGCGTAAGCATCTTTACTCATGTGGCGTAAGTTTGTGGGCTCAATCCCATCTAAAGTAGTTGATGAAAGATAAGTGACTGAGTTTAATTTTTTACATAAAAAAACTAAGGTTTAATCTTAAAGCTAGTGCAGCAGAGCTTTGTTTAGTTCGGCGTAGCCTCAAAAGAAGGATAATATTAACTATTAAATTATACTTATACTACAGGACGCTGGAAGCATCCTGGACCCTCGCGCGGCCGCCGCAGTGGGCCAGTCAGAGCTGATGTCTATGTACGACGCCATGTTCTCACAGTACAACGTCAAGATTGCTCAGGTAAGACTACCCTCATAATATTATAACCGCTAAGCGCCGCTTCAGTGATCACTAGTGATGGGCTCTACCTGATGCCCATTTTTGATCGCCAATTGTCTCTCACTGAATGAGCATTCATTTTTGAGAATTTTTCGATGGAAATCCATTTTTCAGTGATATGTATTTGGTACGGGCGTAGGCTTCCGTATGAAAATAATCAGTTGTGAATTCTTGAACATTCTTTTATTATATTGTTGCATTCTTTTGAATTCTCAAAAGGGTCACTATTACACACATAAAACGTAAGACCCGTATTTAAAAACATTAATATGAGGTCTCACAGTGCGCGTGGACACATAGGGAGACACATGAACCAATCACAGAGCTCTATTCAATGCTGTGCGTTCGATTTGCTGCTTCACTTAAGCAAGCATATGGGCGTAAGGCTACAACTATTTTTACTACGTGATGCTACTAAAGCAAATATATTTCGAAAAGGAAGCGTCACCAGTGTTTCCAGTTCAATAAACCGAAGATACTATGTCCTCAGTTATTTACGTTGGAAGAAACTTTGCTGATGTTTGTACCGTCCTAGATTCTTTGTGAGTTTAACACAATTCAAGAAACAAAGGACTCCATATTCATTGTACTTAGAGATGGATGAGATACCTGTAAATAGTACAATGAACCTTTTATTTCTAAACGAATACAAATGTGGTGAACATGAACCTATCCCCAAATGATAAATTACTTTTCCAATAAATACTTTAGTAACAAAAATGGGAATTAGGTACTGAAAAGGTAATTTGTCTTTGTTTTGTTTTGGCGAATAAAATTCTGACTATGTTCATGACAATTCGTTTTACAGAATGATTGATTGATCTGATAAAAATATCTGAATTACCATCAGTTAGATATCAAAAGTAAATTTTGTTACAATTTATTTTACAGAGACCTCAGAATCTTTATTTTTTTTGTAGTTGCTTATGTTACTATTTTTCCTATTTCCTACTCCTTTAATGATAACCTGCCATTTATATTATTTTCTTTGTTTAATCACTCATTAATTCAAACTTGATTCAGTCTCAAATACAGGTTGAGATTTTAGATTGGTTTGATTTCTGTATTTAGTTAGACCAATCGCCAGACAGGATTTATGATTTATAATGAATCGAGTTTCGTTGTTTTGTAATAAGGACTTCATAGTAATGAGTGAATTATGGTTTATGAATATCGAATCTCTCTTGATTACTTACTTNTCTCTTGATTACTAACTTATTACGTACTACATAGTACTGGCATTAATTTATTAACATCAGTGTACACAGCCTTGATTAAATACCTATGCCTTTTGATACATTTGCCTACATCCAAGTTACCTTAGCAACTGTAGGCTCGCCAAATAGTTTGGATTGAATAACGGTATTCAACCTGTTCATACCTGGAAGCGGGTACGCTTAATGATCGCAACTTAAACGTACAGTAGTGTTGTAGCTTGTGGCATATTGCCAATATTACGTATACTGTAAAACCTATTTTTATAATCCACAACGAGGAAGCTCTTAGCCTGTATGTCTCCTGATGGTAAGTGATGATCAGGCCGGAGATAGAAGCGAGCTTCACCCGGATACCTCAACCACGGAGGAACTGGCTATCTTACCTCTAACTGCCGGAACACAACTATGCTGTTAACATTGTTGTTATGGCGACAGACTTAGGTAAGATGGTGGTAGCTAGCCAGTCGGACTTAGAACAAGCCCTACCACCAACCAAACCGAACAGAAAAATCTGCCCCCACTGGGAATCGAACCCGGGACCTCTGCGTCTTGTAATGTAAATAAAGTATTATTTCCTTACTGGCGATCCGCTCCGGCTCCGCACGAGTGCTATGTGTTATTTAAACCTTCTTCTTGTATCACTCTTTCTATTACTGAAAATTGCCTTAAAATCCGTTGCGTAGTTTATTTATTTATTTATTTATTTATTTATATGGCATACCAACAACATATATATTATACTCTTATGATTAACATTTATGAACATAACATTTCTGATATATATGTCACTTAAGGGTAAGCACAACATTCAGACGGAGATTTAAAACGAATACAAAAGCGACTCGCTAAACCAAAAAAAAAAAAAAAAACTAATAATAACAAGAAAAAAAAGCGTGCCCTACATCGCAGAACTTAAGTGCTTATGCAATTTATCTTTAAATTTAGGGTGCTTATCGTAAAATACATCTAAATCCCGAACCTAGCTCTGTAGTTAAAAAGATCTAAGCCCACAGACAGCGGGAGTGACTTTGCACCTTAAAAACAACCTAACAGGCTTTTTATTATAGGTAGTACATACTAATAATGTCATTATTAGGTACGTACGAGTAATCTTCGAAATGAGAAATTGGTAAATATCTCAAACGATTCAAATAAGTTATTACGGGGCTTAGTTATAGGGCAAATTCTCATATTCCACCTTTACCCAGCTCTATTTAACTAAAATCTGTAACAGATTTTCCACCGTACACCAGCAAAGCACTAATTCATTAATCATGAACTGTGTTCCAGGCTAAATGAATTTCGCTTGACTAAAGGAAACCACAAGCGGCGATAATAAAAAATGACCCGCCCATAATCCTTTTCCAGCCACAGCCTAGAACATAACAGCCTGAACACTAATAAAGTCAGCAATAGATTAAAGGACTGTTTCTCAAAAGTTGAAATTTTGCCAAACATATCCACACGCCACAACAACACTGTTAACAGCATTGTTTTGTTCCGGCAGTTAGAGGTAAGATAGTCAGTTCCTCTGTGGTTAAGATTTCGGGTGCGGATGACGTTCGCTACCACCATCAGGTGACATGCAAGGCAAGAGCTTCTTCGTTTTGGATACAAAAAGAAATACACGCCAGAATTGTTTTTAATCAACTTTTGAGCACCATCTGTAAGATGAAATTCAGGCTCTGTTACAATTTATTTAAAACTAGCATTCCGCCCGCGGCTTCGTCCAGGGTTTTCCCGAAAATTACTCAATTTCTTCTCGCTGTAAAAACCTACCTTGGACAACAACGAACATTAGAAAAAAGAATTGATAAAATTGGTCCAGGCGTTGTTGAGTTTTGCGCTTACCAACATATTTTGCGATTCATTTTTATATTATAGAAGACTAGCTTTCCGTACGCGGCTTCGCCCGCGTGGAATTTTGTCTGTCACAGAAAAACAATATCGTGCGCGTCCCTGTTTCAAAAACCGGGATAAAAACTATCCTTAATATTATATATCCTTTCCCGGGACTCAAACTGTATCTATGCCAAATTTCATCAAAATCGGTTCAGTGGTTTAGGCATGAAAGCGAGACAGACAGACAGACAGACAGACCGACAGACAGACGGAGTTACTTTCGCATTTATAATATTAGTATAGAAGTATAGATAAGACATAGCTACCTATTCGCCACAAGTGTTAGGAGTTACGCCTACGAAAGCGTAACTTATTGTCTTGAACTGTTTGTTCTATTACTTCTGGCTGTGGTACTGTTAGCTCAGACTGCGAAATACCGGCGCATGCATCATGGGTGTCATGCGCTGTAATTGCACTTCCCTGCCGGTGCAATATCCTTTGTACAGCTCCCCCTTTGCGCTACAGTCGAAATATTTGTAAAGAACTTTATAACTATTGCGATAGAATACAAAATACAAATTAGAGGTACCATAGAGGTCGTCACTTGTTGAGGGAGTTAATTAACTCTTTTGGAATCGCAATTGCGAATTAGAAGTTATCTTTTACATTATGTTTAGATTTTTGAGTAGCTCTACCTGTACCTTTGCCCGCAATTTTTCGGTAAATTCCAATCAAAGAAAGTCAAAGCATGAAATACGAGTATACACTAATTTAATCAAAAACAATGTTATCTAAACTAGGCATAATGTTGTTTACAAACTTAATATTAATGAAATTGTAAGCAGAGAGAAACACAGACTGAGTTTGAAATGAGAGAATTACTTATTACTTAGTGGTAAATTTCAATTATTAATCTTTAGTATAATTTATCAAATGAAATAATACTGTTCAGTTGGCCTTAGTGTTTGCGGACTGTATATTTCTCAAGGTTATAGGTATATAATGAAAACTCTGCATCTAATGAAAACAAAATTCATGTTATAGTATAGTTATGTGTTACCATAGGGGTCACTTAAAAATTAGGGATTGATTTACCGAAATAATGGTCCCCTATTATGTTAAAATGGGGAGAGCCTAAAAGGCGATGCCAGTTAAAAAATGTTATAAACACCTTTTTAACAAACGATTACATTGAGAAATAAAAAAAATCTACAGTTAGATAAATACACAATGGTAACAGATAACCATGCTCATTCCATTACGGTAGAATTTTAATATTTCGCAAGGAAAAAACACAAAATACACAGGGGTGGAAGTAATTGAGAAGGATTTGCTTGCTAATGATTCTGAGAAACTCACCCTTTGATACAAATATCAAATGAGTATTTCATTCGATTCTTGTTGAGTAATTAACATGTATATTCAATTACACGTTGTTATTAAATATCAGTGTGTTCTTTATTAGAACACTAATTTAATTGGTCAAAAATAGGTATCCTGAAAATGTCTTGAAAAATTCCGAAAATCGATTTAAAATGTCATGTGATGTGAGTCCTTCAATGAGTTTGTTATAGATATTTTATTATAATTAATGAAATACTATTTGATTAATAATGCTCAATTATCATCTACAATTAAGCGCTATTCATTATAATTACTCGCTATTAATTAATAATGTACCTATTCTACAATTAAGTTTCAATATTCAAGCCCAGCGAAATACCTGGGGCTTCGACGCTTAATATTAATCTGAGTGGGTATTTTGAAAAACCTAGGTATATTGTAATACCTAGTTATATTGTAATATCTAGGTATACTTACTTTATCGTCAGTCCCTGAGATGTTTTCCATGTAGTTAGTTCGCCGACCCCTGACGTTGTTAAAAATAAGATTTTTCTTATTATTTCAGTATAAACCTGAGTTGACTGGATTAGGGACGCTATCAGCTTTTAAAAGTTATTTTTATCTTGAAAACATTTTGTTGTCGTTCCTTTTTGACCTTCAGAATTTTAAGGACGAATATGACGCGAGGTTTTCAAGAAAATAATAATAGATAATTAGTTTTGAGTATGATAAACTTTCACACGTAAAGCGCTCTACAGATTGTAGAAGATAGAGGAAAGCTATTTCTAATACGTTATCATTCCATGGAAACGAACTCACAAACACCGAGTTGGTACTCGTGTGTATAACATAAATTATTATACAAGCATTCATCAAAAACATACCCAAGCAATTGAATTAAGGCCGTCAAACATAATATGATCTTCCAGTATGTTTCAAACCCTCGAAATTTCTCGTATAACCAACATCAATTATATAAAATAAAAGCCCCAAATTTCAAACAACTAAATTAATTGGCGTAGAACCAGACCGAAACGAGTAGGCGAAATTTTATCTGCCTTTAGCGTAATGAAATGAATTCAATCAATCAATTCCAAATAACTTCACAAGGTAGCAATTACTTTGAAAGGGATCATATTATCATTTCTTATTTAATACAGCCTTTGTTGGCCTAAAATAATCATTGTGGAGTTGAGAAACTCAAATTGAAATTTGTTTCTTTAGAATTCAGATTAATCATGGTGAGCTTCTTCAAATTAAATTTTAAGATATTCATCGACAGATTTTCAAAGTTTTTAATCAATCTTAGAAGTCTAGTTGTACCTAGTAGAGAACTTATTAATATTATGTGCTAGTAGTTCTATTTGAATTAGTAAAAATCAAAGTCGTACTATTCCAACGACATTAGATGCCACAATTTCTATTGTCTGTCTGTCAGTAAAGAACACAGATCTTTGATTAAAACTTCTGGTTTGTGCACAGGCCTACATGCTGTGTGTTCTTGGTTTCAATTACTAAATAAGTCATCTAAAATGCTTAATGCTTGGTCTTAGAGTCTAATCAGTGGGTCTACTCTGCAATTCGTTTTTAAGATTTATCCATCTCTATCTCACATGTATGCATTCCACGTAGAGTGACAGGGAGATAAAGTCATTGTTAGCAATCTAACATCTACAATCCAAATCAATTATGGATGTTTATTAGACTATTCAAAATTCTGGATTACAAACGTCTCTTTTACTCATGTGCCCTGACAATAAGAGTAAGAAAGAGAGAGTGTGTGGGTGGAGTAATATTGAAATAGGTAGTCGAACCTTCGTGCTGATACGAGGGAAAAGCGAAAATACTCGGGTATCAAATGTTCCAGACGGAATAGATCCAGGCTTTAGAGACAAATACCTCAAATTCAAAATTCAAAATTCAAAATTATTTATTGTGAAACATAGGTTTGAATTTTGAATTTTGAATTTGAATTTGAATTTTGAATTACCTATACCAAAAGTTAGTCAATTATTTTGTGTTCAACGCATGCTTGTTGGTACTTACTATCATTCAATTTACCCTTGTGAATACATCTCATACTAAATTGATAGTTATCGGAAGTTTGTAAAGTTCTTAATTGAATTTTAATAATTATCCACAAAATGATTTGAACTGTGTTTAGATCTAGAGGATATTGTTATATGACCATGATTATTTATGACAGTTGCATGGGCTAATTGAACTTATCATGAATGAATGAATTAATAAACTTATGGCGGGTGAATGTTAGAAAACAATTTTACTCCATTTATAAAAGACTTCAGAATTTAGTTACAACTTTTACATATTCTTTGTTGTTACTATAACAGGGGACAATGTTGCGCTGAAATTTTCCAAAATTAATTACATACAGCTTTCGACATACTATTACGTTAAATTATGATCGAGGGCATGAGAATGCTAATGTAATCCCAGAATGCTGCAGACATTATACTGGCTGTTCAAGAAAACAATTAGTTATTTAGTATAGAAATACAGTTTATTTTGTTTCGAATATGTAATATCTGCGCGTGATATTTTGTAAGGCGATATAAATCTGATATAAATCAGCCTACTTAAAATTAATTTTAAGTAGGCTGATTTCAGAGGTCATATACCATGTTCTTAAAAAGTATAACTTACTCCAATGGTAGGTACTTCGCTTGCGATAGGTAGGTACAAGACTTAAGTCTATGCTTAAGATTGAATAAAATTTTTTATATAGACGTCTCTCTTCCTCCCTGTGTTTAAAAAATACTTCCACATAACTATAAGTTCGATCCCACTATTCTACGTATGCCATATCATGATTTGGGCATTTCTCTTTATGGTTCTACCAGGGCTTTTTTCACATACGGTATACCCAATTTATTTTTAAAAGGCTGTTTATTTAGACCTCTGAATTATATACCGTATAATAACGAGGCGAAACAATGGCGAAAGGTGCGTATTTCACGGGAAAACACCACATTGCCTAGGTTTTCTGCTTTACATGTCTGAATAATGAAAAGCTGGTTCTGTGAGATATGAACCGGGATACACCGAGCGGTAATAAATACGGTTAAAGTAGATTGAATTTTAATCCGATTACCGTTTCTTTTGTTCTGTCTGAGTAGTTATTTTTCCTGTGGCTTCCTCTTTCTGATGCAGACTTAGATTACTCGTATTTGCTACTAAGCTAAAGGTTTGTGTATAGTGGAGAATGGTTTGTTATACATATTATACTATTATGTATGCTGTATACTGTATTTATTGTACAGCACACAAAACTGAATATCACCAAATAGATACTTTTGAATGGAATAAGTAATTCCCTTATTTGTCCCTCATAAAGGCCTTAAATAATCTTTATATCGCTCTTCTCATATGATAGAATTAGATGACTTCTTAAGAAATGTTTTATGGCTATGGAATGAAAAAAGTGGCAGAGACTACCTCATAAAGGTAACAAGAAGGCACTAGATCCAGGCCGTTAATATGATAATTTAATTAAAAGTATATTTCCGATTCAGGTGCTGGTGACCAAACCTGACTTCTACAACGAGGAGACTCGCAAGAACCTGTTCTGTACCCTCTCCGAGCTGATCTCCCTGAACATCGTGCCCATAGTGAACACGAATGACGCTGTCAGCCCGCCTATGTACATCCATGACGACACCGTGGTCCCGGGGACTGGGAAGAAGGTAAGTTTTTAACAAAATCAAAATCAAAAATATTTTATTCAATTTTGACAACTGGTGGCACTTTTTAACGTCAATACAGTAAAAAAGATAGCCCTTAAGGGGCACTTTACATGTTTCCTTATCTTTCGGGCCCTACCACCTGGCTAACATCATAATAATAGAAAGAAGTATTTATTGTAATAGGATAGATAGACAGTAGTGCATTAGACTGATGGTAATTCTCATAAACAGTAGGTAACGCACGAAAACACGAAAAAAATATTTAATCTACCTATCTAGGTATGTACCTTATACTTAACCCGCGCTACTAAAATCTTGTCATGTTTTCTAAAAAATAAATAAAGCCGATTTGTTAGAAAACTGTTCTATGTATCAAACTATACGAGCAAATAGATCTTTGATCATAAAGTATTGTAAGGGCACTGAACAGTTTAGTCTCTGTTTGAGTCTATAAAGAGTAAAGAGGCTGTCACCATACCCTCGACAATAATTTATGACGCTTTACGGGCGTCACATTTGGTTATTGAGTGGTTTGGCACCTATCGATTTGAATTACAGAGTGTGAACACTCCGTGCTCTGACTAATTTTACATCTCACCTTTCGATGTTGACGTCACCGCTAATATTTATATTAAATTCTCGTTCGATGTTAACGAAGTTAATACATATTTTCGCAGGCCCAAAATAGCTCAAACATGAAAATACAAATATAGCCGTAACAAGCCTGAGGCCAGACTAACAATGCTTCAATATTGGGCCTATGTAAATCAGTTTGGCAAGGGCTGATGGGATGATTTACATGGAAACTATGTGAAAGCAATACTGTGGGTAGATTTGGTGTTTTGTATCGTTTGTACAACATTTGGGAAAGACACGCGAAGATTCTGGTAAGGATGTCAATCCAAGTTGTTGTATGGTCTTGTAAGTTGAAAAATAGTGTAGGTACTACATGTGCCATACTGTTCTGACACAAATCTGCAAATTTTAATGACAGTAGGTATTCACATTATACATTAGCACTCTTCATTGTACACCTTATGAAGCTGACGATGAAAGAATCGTCATTTAGATACTATAATTGATGCGGTTTTATTACGAGGAAGGGATATCTCATATCGACGCGCAAATCGATTCAATATCGAGCATTAATTCGTCTTTGATTGTTTCGATTTCAATATTTGGGCTAATAAATTACAGGAACTCAGGCCTATGCCTGAATATTGATTGATTTTTGACCCTCTTTCTGTAATTGGGTTATGATTTGTGACTACAGTACTAGTATGTGACAAATAGTAAACATTACTACAGCTTCTATAATGTTAACTGCGCTAAATATAGAAAGCCATTTTCCCGTGTCACAGTCCAAGTCAATCCAAATAATTACTTCCATCCCAGATGATAAATAACCGGCATTTTGTGTGTAAGCCACTGTTATTCTCCTAATGATAGCTAATTATCCGGCTCTATTGTAGCAATACTAAATGGTGTTTACCACGAGAGAGGTAATGCGAACCCAGAGCCGTTTCTGTTGTGTAGTTCGGGACGCTAATATGCTAGTTTCCTAAAAATAACTTTTAGTCCTAACATTATCAAAAAGTATTGGACACGTATATTTTTATTTGTCAATCAAACAAGTAATGACGAAGCTATGATGCGTTGAAGTTCCGCGTAACATCACAAAGTGCTACACTTTGAAGCACGCCTGACGTCACGGGCCTCTTCGTTTGAACTTTGACGCGATTTACCTCTTTCAATTTTCATTAGTTTGAAAAAGTGAAAAATACGTGTCGAGCATTTTTTGATAAAACCGACGGATTAATTCAAACTCTGGCTTTTTTACCCAAGAACATCCCTATTAATAGGACAGGCAAAGACCTAGCCGGTGCCAGGATGAGTCCCGTGATAAAATTTCATCGATGATTATATAGATAACAAAATGTATGGGCTAATCGCGTAAAATTATTAAAATGGCGCGATAAAAGCTTATCTCGATGCGCTTCAATACTCAATATCTTTACTTAAAATTAGAACGTTATGGGTCCTGTAGGGCACGGCACGGAAATTAGGAAAGAGGAGGACCACCCTAGATCAGCCGAAAAATTTGTTAGAAGTTGAGCCTAATAATTTATCATTTAGATAGGTACTCACACTTCCTAGGCCTACTGGCTAAACAGTGACAAAAGAATGAGGACAGACCTACTTTAGTCATAAACACTTGACTTGCTTATTCATTGCAGACTTGTCATTGTATAACATAAGGAAAATTACAGTTAATGAACGATCATAGCACACTATTAGGAAAGTCACTTTCCCGGTGTTCTGTGAGCTGTGATAACCGTTTCTACTTACTTTCGGTAATGGTTCATTCACGTATAAGTTATACGAACTCATGTTGACATATGTAAACATAGTACGTATGTAGTGTGTTATTCTTTTTCCTCGTCATTATTTATCGTGTAGGCTGTAACAACTTATTATATTACTTACTTAGTCGGACTTTAGAAAATGTATTAATTGAATTAAAAAAGAGGAGTCAGAATTTATGTTTTAACTATAGTTCGTTCGCGTTAAGAATGCAGTAAGTCATCATTGTCCGCCGTTGATATTTAGCTTTTAAGTGTATTTTTGAAAATTCATTAAACTTAATATTTTAAAATACATATAATTTGTTTGAAAAATGCCTCTGTGAATACAGCTTTATCCTGCAGTTGCACTGATAATTCACTGCATTCTTAACGCGAACGAACTATAGTTTTCCCTCAGAATCAATATCTCAATTTGTTTGAGTTTTTCCAACATGTCCCATACCTACATATTTATTTCATCAATTACAATATTTTGACTTCCACGCATATTTCTCGATCACCACAGGGCATTGGAATCAAAGACAACGACAGTTTATCAGCGTTACTGGCAGCAGAGATCCAGTCAGATCTGCTCATCATGATGTCTGACGTAGATGGTATCTACAACAAGCCACCCTGGGAAGACGGTGCCAGGATGATGCACACATACACCTCAAAGGAGCAGGTTCAATTTGGACAGAAATCTAAGGTAAAAATAATTTTAATAGACTTCTATCCTGTCTCTAGCTGTCCGGCCAGGACGGGGAGTTTATTAGGCCAAATCCTCCATTTACCTGACTAAATTAATGACGATGATGATAATAAAGATGATTATGATAAAGTCAGATTTATGATCACAAATATGAGGATCACAATAATGAAGCAAAAATGTAACTGCTCTTCTTTCATCATCTATATGTTTGTATTTATCTTTTAGGTGGGAACAGGTGGTATGGACTCAAAGGTGAACGCAGCTACATGGGCCATGGCTCGTGGAGTCAGCGTTGTGATTTGTAACGGCATGCAAGATAAAGCCATCAAAACTATCATCAGTGGTAGAAAAGTGGGCACTTTCTTCACGGACTATGCGACTAACGCTTCCAACTCTGTGGATGAGCTAGCTGAGAATGGTAAGTATCTTTTGTGAGTCAATTCAATTAATTATGCTTTGTATCGATTGATAATCTAACCTTTATTTTAGCACGAACTGGAAGCAGAGTATTGCAACAACTATCTCCACATGATAGAGCATCGGCCATTCATTCTTTGGCTGACTCACTTGTAGATAAACAAGATCAAATATTAGAAGCAAACGCTAAAGATTTGGAAGAAGCTACTAAAGGAGGACTAGCGTCTGCTTTATTGAGCAGACTGTCTCTCAGTCCAGGAAAGTTGAAGACACTTTCAGTAGGTTTGAAACAAATTGCCGATTCTAGCTACGAAAATGTAGGACGAGTTTTGAGGAAGACCAAATTAGCTGAGAATTTGGTTCTGCGTCAAGTTACAGTTCCTATTGGAGTATTATTAGTTATATTTGAATCCAGACCTGATTCACTACCGCAAGTTGCTGCTCTAGCAATGGCGTCGGCGAATGGACTTCTCTTGAAAGGTGGAAAGGAGGCTGCTCATTCAAATAAAGCTCTTATGGATCTGGTTAAAGAATCTTTAAAGACAGTCGGAGCTCAAGACGCCATATCTCTAGTTTCAACCCGAGAGGAGATAAGCGATCTTCTAGCTATGGAGAAACACATTGATTTGATCATCCCTCGTGGATCTTCAGATTTGGTGAGAAATATACAAAAGCAATCCCAGCATATCCCAGTACTTGGACACGCTGAAGGTATCTGCCATGTGTACATTGACAAAGACGCGGATCCTGTTAAAGCTTTGAAGATAGTTCGCGATGCAAAGTGTGATTACCCAGCCGCTTGCAATGCTATGGAAACGTTGCTGTTACACGAAGATCATTTGTCTGGGACTATGTTCACTGATATTTGTAATATGTTGAAGAAGGAAGGTGTTAAGATTCACGCTGGTCCGAAACTGTCCAGTCACTTGACGTTTGGTCCACCTCCAGCTCGCAGCATGAAACATGAATATGGATCCCTGGAATGCTGCATTGAAATAGTGAAAGACATGGATGAAGCAGTTGAACACATTCACAAATTCGGAAGTTCTCATACAGACGTTATCATCACTGAGAATGGTGAGTATTAAACTCTATTGTCTATTCAGATACTACTAGGCAGTTATTTACGCAGTGATATGATAATCACACGATGTCATAAACAGGGAAGTAGTTAGATAACTTCAAGGAGAACACGTGTCAAATTTTGTTCTAGTATGTGTTGATTTTACCTACTTACATTACAATTATATTTAGATGTTTGAGTATCTGCTCTTCGGACTATAAATTCGAGCAAATAATTTGACTGTGCACTTTATTTGACATATTTACATTAGATGACGTTGTGATGAATATCGACAATAGCCATATCGAATGGTTAAATCATTAATCGGCCAGACAGATTTAAAGTCAGTTTTATTTTATCTTTATTTGAGCAGCTTAAATAAATATTGAATATTAATATGACTGTATTTAATTGTTAACAGACAATGCAGCCAAGAAGTTCTTGGGCTCCGTGGACAGTGCGTGCGTGTTCCACAACGTGTCTTCTCGATTTGCCGACGGTTTCCGATTCGGGCTCGGAGCTGAGGTTGGAATCTCCACCGCAAGGATACATGCTAGAGGTAAACAAAACTGGTTTCTAGAGTCTTACAGACTGACGTTCTTATGGCCGTCCATTTCAAAGGGGTCACTTAAAATTAGGGATTAATGGTGAAAACACTGTGGTGGTCCTTTTTATTCTATTTAAAACACATTTACCGGTGTAAATACATAATATCAATACCAATACCATTTAAATAAATAAATAAAAAACTAAAGCAAAAAAGACTTGACCACAAAACTTCGGCAGTATTTAAGAGCTAATGCTAACAGTTAATTTATACAGATTTGGAATATTTCGAATAAACAATTACGAGATAAAGTTTACCAAAACCCAATAACTGATTTTATTAGTAGTATATGAGTAATTGAGTATCCCAGTCCAATTAACCCTCGGAATCGAATTCAAAGTGACATTGCGATATCTAAACTTTGAACTGCCATTGAAAGGCAGGTCTGTTAATTGGTCTTTGACTATCTGGTTTAGATCCGAATCTTAGTCAAGTTCCGCCGTAATGCAATAGTTAGCGCCTGTAATTAATTTGTCTGGAAAGTTCAGCCGCTTGTTAACTGTGATTACTAACTATTTCAATTAACTGACAAATCTCTTTATGAGTTTGTATGTGACGATGATTCGTTAGACATTTGCATTTGGGTTTGAACAATTAATATTAGAGTATATATTTTCTTGGACTACTCGTAAAACAAGTAGTAATTCTTGCATCATTTCATATTTTCAACCGACTTCAGAAAAAGGAGGAGGTTCTCAATTCGACCCGTATGTTTTTTTTTTCTATGTTTGTTACGCGATAACTCCGCCAATTATGAACCGATTTGAACAAATCTTTTTTCGGCGTATAGGTAATACCTCAAGGGTGGTCCCATTTAAATTTAATAATAAAAAACAACCCCCAAGGGTGGAAAATTGGGGATGAACTTTTTTATACGCAATATCTCCGCCGATTATAAACCAATTTGAACGATTATTTTTTTGTTGAATAGGTATTATTAGAAGGGTAGTTTCACGCGAATTTGAAGAAAATATTTCACCCCCAAGGGTGGAAAATTGGGGATGAACTTTTTTATACGCAATATCTCCGCCGATTATGAACCAATTTGAACGATTATTTTTCTGTTGAATAGGTATTATTTGTGTTCACGCATTTGAAGTCGGTTTTTTTTTTAAAGTTATATTATTAAGTAATGTGCAATTCATATTATCATTATATTCATGTATCCCACCTCTCGGTCCCACCGCTGCGACTACTGTGTAGCCAGGATCTACAGTTTGATCGCCTATAAAAACCCAACGAGTGGTTACGACGATTGAGGGATACATGAATATAACCAGAAACACTTTTATGTAAGTAAAATGATGCCGAGACCATTATGGATCGCTAAAAGTTAGCAGTTCTTATGCAGAGCCAATCTTTGACTTTACAAGCCCAAGTCAATAATTTTAAGTTGCATTTGAGAGCCTTTGAAGACCATAATGTGTCAATTATTGTTACTAAGAACTTTAATTATAAACACTTGATTAACCCTTCGCCAGGATCGATCAATGTTAACAATTAGACGATAGTTTAAGGCGTGTTCTCAACATCATATTAAATTGTTTTCGAAATTCTCTACATGCCTCATTATAAATTTGGAAACGTAATATAATATTGATGGTTTGTGCTATAAATAAATGACTTGTTCGGAGTAAGTTTGAAATGTGTCTTTAGAAATCAATAGGTATTAATTTTACACGAAGCAGCATTTAAAATATGTTTAATAATTTTAAACATAACATTCTTGTACAGACATACTTAATCATCATCATAATTTCGGCCATAAGACGTCCACTACTGAAAAGGTCTCCCACAATTATCCCAATGACAAGACATAATGCCTATATGAAAATTATGTTCCAGTACGGTGATTAAAAAACTATTAAGTTACGTTTCACGAAACTCATGATTTTTATTTATTTTTTCAGGTCCAGTCGGAGTGGAAGGTCTCCTGACCACCAAATGGATTCTGGAGGGTACAGACCACACAGCGGCAGAGTTCAACGAGGGAAGGAGGTCTTGGGTCCACGAGACCCTCCCCCTGAATTGACTACCAACCCCCAGTGCCTGGTACCATTGTAGACCTTGGATTACAGTTATGAGATTCGTTGAGAGATTTAGAAAATTGCGGACAAGTTAGAAGTAATTGTCGCTGAACTAAAAAAGATAATGATAGGTTATAATTGCAAATAGATACAGTAAAATTAATCCTAAGTTATACTTTTAAATGAATAAATAAACAAAAAAGTGAGAAACAATAATAATATTGCTATAAATATTGTGTTCTATAAAGGAAGATAAACAATGTTTATTGGATCCATGTGCGTCAATAAATACGAAGATAAATTTTATTGCAATAAAATATTGATAAGACGAATTGTGTATAATACCTATGTATAATAAAATAAACAATTTCTTATTTCGTCTTTAATATTATTTACATAATCGTACTCGTCATTATAAAAACTTCCTGATATTATACACTCTTATCCTACATTGATAAAGTTTCATCAACAACAAACAAAATAAAAATAAAGGCCAAATTGTAATTAAACATAATCAATCAACTTCTTTTACTATAAAAACACATTTTTTAAGAGCAATGACTAGAAACTTTTTTTTAACTCGTTAGTCGTCTTTTTACTTTTATTTCCAAGGAATAGGGTATGTTAGGGCTACCATGCGTCCAGATCCGGCTTTTTAATTTTTCCGGACTATTTGTCTTCATAAAAAAACTGCGCTCTGTGACTCTGCGGGTTTTTTTGTCAGAATTTTATTTTGCGACGATTTTCCGGAGCTTTTGGCAATATCTGGATGATTCATTTTTTATTTAAAACATTGCATAAAAGATACACAAATCGTAGTTATACCATAGATTCTTTCCAAGACAATATTTCAGTCAAATACTTTAAAATAGAGTATATAGGCGGTACTTGAAAACTAAAAAAATAAACTTATCGGAAGTTTTCTCTAGATGGTAACCCTAGCTAAATGTATAAAGGTCAATAAAATTACTAAACACCTAAGCGATTACAGCGAAAACTTTTTAAAAAATGGCAACAAAAAGGTCCAGTTCCCTCGCAAGAGTCCCATTTAAACTCTGCTTCAACGGGAGTTAATCAAGAAAAAAGGTTCTTTGCGTATTTTCCAACGGGAAAATAAATAAAAATACGAAACAAAACCCAAAACGCTCCAACTTGACATTTTATTTGATTGCTCTAAAGGTTGGGGAATTGAAATTGAAAACTGGAAGCTTGATTACAACTTCTTGACCTATTCACGTACGGAACGCCGGGGTGTCTTTGTATGGAGTAGGGAAACAAAATATTTTAACGTTATTTCACCTAATATAATCAAAAGTACAAAAAGCGAATTCGGTTTTATCGATAAGCTAGCTTTTATCTGTCAGTTTTGCCCTGAAAACAATTGATTAAGGTTGCATAATATCTATTTATCCATCTTCACAAAACTTGGACTTGTCGTCAAATATTGTGTGAAAAAAAAAGTAATTTATCCTTAAAACAATCCATGAAAGTTTAGGAAAATACCAAGCATACGTCTAGACTACAGTGGGAATTCTAGGAATACAACACTCCCGGGTATCACACTTATCTTGTTACTGTTCTCAACCCTGCCTTTATCAATGTAACAGATTTAGACCTACCTAAATGATACTTTATTGAAGATCGCCTAAATATAAACGACGTAGGCGTAACAAAGGCATTTCTAATTACATTACTAAGTTATACATGTTAAAAAGTTGTTAATTTAATCCGTACTTCAAGTTGTGGTTTTGCTTGTGTGGATTTTGGATTATCAAAGAAGAATGTCCCTCGGGAACTGGATGTTCCTAGAACAAAAAGCTGAAACTTTTTGAATTTGATAGGTAAGTGCACTAATTTTACTAGAAAACTTTTTTAAGAGTGGTATATTTGTGATTGAGGTCAAGTTTTCCGGGCATTATTATTTTCAAGTTAAGGCTGATTTTTCAAAAGAAGAAAAAAAAAGATAGTGATAATTATATGTGTGACTCTAGATATAATAATTGTTTTGCTCTTAAATACTTTCAGTAAGAGCTTTTATAGATTTCCATGGTATCAAAGATAAAGCTGTTGGAGAATCATAGGACTACCTATTCAAAACTGAACAACATTACATTATGTACAGTAGGTGAAAAATATGTTTTCAGAAGATTTAACTTATTATAGTGGCTAGTTTTAGACAAGTCAAACGAAACGTTTCGATACAATCGCAGCGCCTTGTTATCTTTTAAAACGACAGATCCCACACGTTCGGCCCCAATCAGGGGGAATTGTTGGGGTCCCGATACGACACGTGTGTCTTGCTCCGGAGATTAGAGCTCACCTAGTTCTGGGTTGGTAGGAAATCGAATGTAGGTAGGTATTTAGGTCATATACTCGTACTTTGTAACAATTTCAAGTCGCATTGACACTAGTTCAGATTAAAAATGGGAACAAAATAGCTTCAAAGTTTGTGGATTTTATTACATGTTTATTTTAGAAAGAACAGTATTTACATAATATTTGTATTAACAACATAACAATTAAACAGTTCTTTAGTATTTTAATATAGGAGTCGTCTCTCATAATCCGTTTTGCACACACAATTACTGCGTAATATGAACCAAATAAACTTTTTTCCTTCTTTTCGTTATAAGTATCAAAATCAACAGCAGCCATACTAAAATATTATAACTACATAGAAAATATTTTCCTGCTCCACTGCAAAATACTTGAAGAACAAAGTATAGAGCATGGCAACAAAGTTAAAATATAAACTTTAAACTTGTGTACCAACAAACAAGGGACAGTTGCAATTTGTTCGTCCCTAGACAAAGTGTCCACGGTTCTATTGAAGAAACTTCTCGAAAACAATTGCGAACTAACCGGCAGATAACTAGTAACAAAATGGTGGAAAACTCGAAACAAAATGGTTGCCAGTTGGTTTTATTTTAGTATAACATAAACCTTTCCAGTGTCTTCGTTTTCAAGAGTGTTTAAGAGATTCGTTTTTACACAGTTGCGGGCTTGGTTATTTACATTTTAATCTAGATTTTTATTTTAGATTATGACATACCTAAAGATTATGTTTTATCATGGTCCGTGAGTTAGCAAGGTAGCCAATAAATAGTACATAGGTTCTTGCCCTGAGAGGAAAGTTGAGGGAGTTGAGTGATAGTTTATAATGTAGAGTTTTAACTCCAAAAATCAAACTCTTTTACCATTACTTCTCCATCACATCCCATTATTTTGTTTTCTTGATTTTGCATATCTTTCTCTAAATAGAAACTAGTTAAAAATCTCATAACTTCAATAAAACTTATGGGGCAGTTTATGTAACCATAATCACAATTAACAAGTAAATAAAACGCATGTACGGTACATGCAATCTCCGTCACATATGTAAACTCGCTTCTGTTTCTATGCCTGAAAGTAGTGAAGGCAACAGTTTCCATTATTTTGCTATCGCAAACTGTCGATTGTATGACGTCGCTTACAATAGTGGCTCGCCATTCACTTTGACGCGTTTTCAAACGAATGTGGTTTCAATAATTGCAGCGTTTCTGTCTTTGAACAGTTCCGTGAAATTCTGTTCATTCAGTTAGCTTCGAATGCTACAGAAATCAGAATTCAATATACTGTCTCTACTGATGGAACAAGTATTTGAATTGTTAACTTGAAGCTGATGGAATTGAAATGTGCTGCTATGTTGCTATATGCACCTATAGCTCTCATGTATACTTGTAACTGAATGTTTCGTAAGAAGTGTAACTTATTGACTTAAAACGTTGTTATTAACGTCGTAGGTAAAAGAACGTCTAGTCTCATCTGGGAATACTTTCGTTATTTTTTTAAATTTTTAGTTAACAATTTGTTTGTTTATTTAGCAAAATGTGCAGTAGGATGAATTGTAACGAAGTTGTGTGAGGGCGCAAGCGTTTCTACACAAGCTAAGTGAAAGCCATTCTAAAAACTGTTTTAGGGAACCTAACTAATTGAACTTAGACTTATTAACTATATTGGCAGGTTTACAAATGCTCTCAATTTCCTAAACGACTGCACCGAATATACTGCATGCAATATTTCGTCGATTAGAGAACGGATTGGTCTACCGTAGGAAGCAATTTGCAAGCCAACGGAAATTGTAGGACGTGCAATTAACTGGCGGTGCTTATTACATCACTAAACTGCATAGATGTAACCTAACCACCATCTTGGAAGATAAGTAATTTCTACCACTAACGATGGTATTTTGATTTCGGCAAGGACCTAACTCGAATTTCCAATCAAGCATTTTCATTAGGCATCACAAGGAAATCAATATTTCCTGGAAACAATTTCAAAGTCTAAAAACACCAGGGGTAAAAAAGCAAGTAGGTACCTACGAGTCAAGTTAATAAGCGATCCAACCCTATCTAATGAATTTTATTCTACTTCTCTTCTTTGTTATTTTTGTAAGTTTCAACTGTCTATTCTTGAGATGCGCTTTTGAGTTGCATGAATAAATACGGAATGAAGCACCTTAGTAATATCACTCTATACAAACTATCCCCAACTTAGTTCAGCTCCAGATTCGAAATAGTTCTAGCTTTTGAGCCGGTGAATCCTATATCTACTTGTTGAGTTAGGGCCAGAAGTCGTGGAACTAAATGGATTATGCCAGTTAGCGATTCCCGAATACTGCAGGAATATTGAATAGAACCGCTCCCAAAGTTGTCTATGGTGTAACGACATTGCATTATACAATGTAATAGTTGAGGGCGAACAATGTAGTTTTGGAGTTCGGTTTTCTGTAGAAACGAGAGAGGTTTCTAGAGATGCTTAGTGTAAATTTCAACTATCTATTTCACAGATTAGAGCTCGTAAGACTTCACTTTTCATCATCATGATCATTTCAGCCTTTCAGCTACAGCACGTCCACTGGTGAACATAGGCCTCCCCCAATGATTCCAGATTGGCCTGTTGGTAGCGTTCTTGCAACTTTTATGAAGTTGTCAGTCCATTTGAAGGATGTCCCAACTACGACGTTTTGCTTTTACAAAACATTATTTTAAAGTACCTTTTCTATGTGATCATTTTATATCAAAGGCATGATCACATTACGCCTGTCAAGTCAAGGCTACAAATAAAATAAAACTGATGAACAAAGGCCCGGAAAAAGAATAAAAAGCCTCAGAATTAGACGCTTTATTAAGTCAGAACGTTCTGCCTATTAACAATCACAGTCCTGAAAAACTTAAGAAAGGATTCCTCAACAAATTACGCACTTTTTTGTTTCGTATTTTTGCAAATGTTGGGCTATAAGGGAATTCC